CCGTACCAGGACCGACTGCTGGTGGAGCAGGTCGAGGTGCTGAGGCCATTCGATGCTGGTCGCGGCGCTGCACTGATGGCAGCTTGGGATTCGCTCTCTGTTCAGCTGGCCAGCGCAAGTCGAATCAAAGGGAAGGAGATTTCGAAGTCGGGGAACGCGTGCAAGGCCCGATTCCTCAAATTATTGAAGGCACACAGGGTGAGTGCCAGGCCGTTTTATTAAACTCTTGGGCTGACTCCTACCCAGGCAGACGAGACGCGCTCGCTGCAGAAGACCGGGACGAATGAGGAGGTCGACGAGCATGTACAGGTGCATGTTTACACTCTAACTGCTGGGCCTTGAGGCTGACTGTCCGCCGCTAGCGCTTAACCTCGATCAACGAGCTCTATCACGAGCAAGAGCTGCGCAAAACGGACAAGTCAACGGCAGCGCAGAAGAAAGCAAAGGTCGAACAGGATGCGGCGCTGGAAATCCGAGACGCGGCCATGCGAGGTCTTGTGTGCCAATACTGTGTGGTGCTAGAAGCAGCAATCACTGCAACATGGTTGAGATGTTGGTGATGGTCAGTGAGGAACAATGGCATTGTTGCGGGGCACATCCCTTTGGTTAGCAATGACTGTCCCTGATGCAAGTTCAGGTTGCTGACCCCTGTCTGCCTCAGGAGCAGTACACTTCTTTCAACACAGGTGCCTTATGAAAAGTGGCATGAAGACTTTCCTAGATTAACTGATGGAGGTGATCATCCAGAAGTCACCTCTGCTGGAATTGTGGCCTTCAGCAGTTTATTGATATGGAAGACAATATAGCAAATGGGGCACTGATAGTCAGTCCAAGTGATGAAGCTGCAATCATGAAGGAAATTGGTCTTTTCAATGCCTTAATGAATGACAGTAGGATTTCCAGAGCAGTCCCCCAAATTTAATACTTATCATCTGGTTAATTTTTCTTTTTGGAATATACAAGTTACTCTTATCTTAGTGATATATAGTCTGACTATTTCATGATTTTCCAACAAGTCTAACTTATGTGATCAATATTATAGAATAAAATAATGACAATTTGTGCTAGGCTACTATGCCAAGCTTTGATGAGGGTTGTGCTAGGGGCAAAAAATCCAATTATATAATTCAGAATCAATATTTCTTGGAGCTGCCAATGTGAAAAATTTCATTTTAGTGCTGATGTCACACCAACTTTGGGTGCCAAATTGAATGAAATTACAGTACTGTTCCATTTGATTCATTTAGCATGGCCCAAAGGCTGTGACATGCCTGACAAAGTTGGCAATTCATCAGGCTGTCCCCATTAGGCAATTTTGGCACCAGAGGCACCAGAATGGAACAAGAATTTCCTTATTTGGATGTCTTTTGGGCAAAATTTGATGAGCATGACTGAAAATATAGTGTATATACTCTAATTTCTATAGTTCACAACCCTCATACTTATATCTATATACTTTCAGGCTTATGAGTTTGGATAGCCCACTCTGTCAGAAGTATCAGGTAATTGATAAGAGGTGAACATGTTGAAGAGTTGATATAGCCTGCCATATGTGTTTGAACATTCCAGATACACACATAGCTACACATATACACATACTTTTGCAAAAAAAAAAAGGTTTCACGAAGATTGAATTTTATCCCTGTTTTTTTTTTTCGATCGCCTCAGTAGTCATATGACGCGAATCATGGGAATGTATTGGGGGGGGGGGCCCCAGAGGGTCGGAAAAAAACTTTCCAACCCTATAGCCATGTTTCGAATCTTGAACACCCCTGGGCCAGGTCCCAGGGTGATTGTCTAGAAGACTGCTGGGCAGCAGCGTCAGCAGCGCCAGAAACAGAGTCGGACCAGAGACATACTTAGGCATCTCTGGTTCCCAGATGTGGCCAATTGCAGGGACCTTGTCTTGTTTGGTTTCCATATGCAAATCGTACCGGGCTTCTGAGTTCTGACTCGGAGAAAATGTCAACGAACAAGCCTTCTTCATACTACACCCTTCAGTGGTGGCATCATTATACACCCCCTTACACTGCCACCATATGCGTCAAAGGGACGCTGAGCTGGCTCACGCAACTGACACTGTGAATTGCTGTATGTAGGTCCATGTGTGCATGAGTTGCATGTTTGTGTGCCCTCTCCAGAGCTTCGAGATGGCCGCCACGCGGACAGAACTTGAAGGCGAGGCTGCTCGATGCGAAAGGCCGAACGGCCAGAGAAGGATGGTGTTGCCAACTTGCCATGAGGCGAGCAGAGGCCGGATGCGTGATGCACGCAGCACGCTGCGCGTCGAGTCATAGCAGTCCTCCTAAATATGATAGGCGGCGCGCAGGCGGTGCGGTGCGCCCGTCTCGCCTCACTGCTGTGTGGTTGTGTGGGGCACCCGGCTATCGCACAGCCGGGCTTGCTATCGCGACAGCTGTCACTGTCAGCTGCCACGTCCCCACCCGATAAGCGCCCGCCGGCGCCCCATATCCGGCGCCCTGCGAAAACACGCCGTGCGCGCGTTGCGTTTGCGCGTGCGTGCGTGCGGCCGCACAGTCCCGATGTGGCCATGGACGCCCCTGCTGATAACGCGCGCGCGCTACGCCGGGAAAGGACAGTCGCCCAGGGCACGCCGGACGTGCACGCCTAATCACAGTCTAATCCGGGAACTTGAACGCCTGATTGAGCACGAGATTAAGCTGGAAGGCTCATTTCCGGCTCTTCAGTCGTCTGCACGCCAGGCGAGCCGGCCCAGCTCGCTTGCGGCGCTCCATCTGCGCGAGGCGTTTGGGGCGGGCACGTTCCCGCGCGGGCGTACAGTATCGGCGCCGGACGCCGACGCCCAGAACGGCGTCTGCGCGTCAGCGGCGGCGCTAAGCGGGCAGCGTGCGCGGGAACGCGGCACGGCGCGCGGTGATGGCTGATCGCCGCCGGCGGGCAGGTGGCGGTGGCGGTGGCGCAAGCGAGGGTTGGGGCGAGCAGGCGGTAAGCTTCGATGCATTCAAATTGGCGTGCACACTGCAGACGGGGGTGGGCTCGTGCTCTTTGTGCTGCGTTTCAGTTTCGTCGTGTGGGTACTTTGGCGAAGCATCGCATGCGCAGAGGGCAACGGACAAAGAGACAGGCAGGCGAGCCGTTCCGACCCAGCTGCGGCTGCGCCCATTTCCCATTGACGGCAACGACTGGGAAGTGTGCTGTTGCTGTGGCCTTCTGACATGTTGCGCTTTGGCGCAGGGAGCCAGGGACAAAGGCCAGGGCCGCCACGTGCCCCATGTGGCGTCTTCCGTTTTTCATCTCCCTGCTGCGACAAGATGGGACAAAGAGGGTGCACAAAGAGGCTTCCCACATCTCGTGCTTCGGCGCACATCCGCACAAAGAGATTATCGCGACAATCAGTGCCGGGCCGGGCCCGTGGCAGCAGGGCAGAGGGGAGGGACGATGAAAGAGAAGGACAAAGAGATTATCGCGATGAGAGCTGCGCGCAGGTGTGGGCGTGGGCGTGCGATCTCGACGTGCGATAAGCCTTACGGCCAGGCGAGACGAGCCGGCTCAGCTCGATGAAAGAGCTGCTGCCTGGGACGCCCGCTGCGACGAGTGCCCACGCGAAGCAGGCGCAACGCGCAGGCTGACGCGGCTTGGCGCCGCGCCGCGGCGTTTAGCCCCCCATCACGCCCAAGACGCCGGGCGATCGGGGTCGCGTAATTCAGTGTGCGGGGATAGACGTCCTTGGCGGGCTGCCCCGGCGTCCTACGCAGAGTGTCCTCGCCTCCTTATCGCGCGCGAATCCGCCCTGCGAATCCGCGGTGGGGGCTGTGGGCGTTCTGATCGACGTTCTGCGCGGTGGATGCGGGTATTCGAATATTCGCGCGGGCTGCACTGGCTGCTGCCCCAAGCCTTGGCGCACCCTCCGATGTATCCGCCTTCTCCACTCCAATTCTCCACTTCCATTCGAATTCCGTCTGCAGCTCCTCCAGGTAAGTAACTTCCAAGCGTCCGAAGCCCGCGGCGCCAGTAGCGGCGTAATCCCCCGAGCCGCGCGCGGCGCTATCGATGTCCCGCCCGAGAGTATTCCGCCCCACTACCCCTCCCCGCGCGCGTTCCGAGAATTCCCATCCCGGGTTTCTCCCGACGTCCCGCTGACGTGGACCGGCTGACATCACGCCGTGCATGCGTGGCGGTGCCCCGGGCCGCGAGCGTGCGACGACCGCAGCAGCGACGATCACGCACGTCGCGCACGTCCGCAGTTCGCGGGCCTGGACCAAGCCCGCCGGCGCTGGGGCCATCAGCACCCAGCATCGATGGTGTCGGAACGGACAGACGAACAAGAGAAGCAGAAGAGCGACAGACAAGAACAAGAGATGCGTGTCCGCCCCCGCGCCGCGAGGAGAGAAGCGCGAAGCCCGCAGCTGAGCCCACCCGAGCCCGATTTGCCGGTCCGCGCGCTGCTGAGTGAGACATGCACACACGCACACAAAGCAGAGACGGCGTCTTGCTCTCGCGGGTGAGTCAGACCGGGGGCGGGTGCGACGCGTAATCGGTAATCTGACTCAGGGTGCTTAGGTGAGCGGGTGTCGGTGGGCTGCTAAGCGAAGGGTGGGAGCGTGGTATCTACGCAGCCAGCCCAGCCAGGAGGGCAAAAGCGAAGGCCAGTGGGCTGGCTGGCTGCGCGCAGCAGCCCTGCTGGCTGGCACGGGGGGCAGCACGCGTCGCCAGGCAGTGCATGAAAGGGAAGGGAAGAGAAGCCGGGCCACGGGTGGGTGGGTGGTGGCGCGAACCGAGCCGGCCCAGCTCGCCTGCCAAATGGGGCAGGCCGGATACGGATATGGGAGGTGGCGTGTTGTTGGGGCGTGGCAGGCAGTGGTAGCGATAATATATAAGGGGCCGCGGCTCTCTCGGTGCCCCGACCGTGTCGCTGTTGACCACCCACCACCACCACCACCTCCCTCCCGTCGTCCCCTCCCTCGACGACGCCAAGGCCAGCGACCACAGCCACACTCCCACCACTACCACCACCAGCGATGACACGTTGCGCGTCACCCACCGGCGCGGTCGCGTTCTGCTACGACTTCCCCGTCGCCTCCACCTCCTCCTCCCACTCGTCCTCCTCCCGCCTGCCCCGCCCACGTGCCCACTCCCCCCGGCCCCGGCGGCGCCCGACGCCGTCCCCGATGCGCGCCTTCGACAGCGACGACGACGACGACGACGAGCACACACAGTACGCCTCCCACCCGCTGCCCACGCCCACGGGCAACCAGTGGACGCGCGGGCCCTCCCCGACGCACCTCTCCCCGTTCTACCCGCCCTACCCGCCCGCCCTCGCGCTGCCCAGCTCGTACGAGTCCGAGCGCAGCGTGCTCTCCGCGAAGGGGCACGTGCACTGCGCCGTCGCCAACAAGATCCGCAAGGCGCGGCGCTCCGTCGACGAGGCCGTCCCGCACCTCTCCCCGCCGCCGCTCGCCTACTCGTCGTCGTCCTCGGGCTCCGGCTCGAGCGCGCCGAGCTCGCCGTACTCGCTGCCCAGCGACGACTTTTCGGGGGACGAGCACGACGCGGAGGACGACGGCGTGTTTGGCTCGCCGGAGATGGACGCGGCGGAGTTGCCTCAGGCGGAAAGCCACCACCACACCGATGCGAGCATGGCGATCAAGAGGCGCTGGGCGGCGCTCAGCCTCAGCGTGCGCTTCGGCGTGTTCCGGGCGAAGCGGAAGATGCGCGACAGGGTGCTGAGTCTGTGAGCATTCTATTCCCGCATTCGCATCCACACCATGCCTTTCCACATCCACATACACACACATCCACTGCGCGACCTTTGCGCCACATGCACACTCCCCTTCGCATTCGGATCCTTGTAGCACACTTCGCCTTCGCTTTCGTGTATGATTATCCACATTTGTTGTCTGTACTACACCCATGTATACGCACTTGCGCCTGCCGCTGTCCTAGAGACGCGGAAATAGAACACAACTTGTACAAGATCTCAGAGACAATAAGATTATCGATGGCGGGTGACAATAAGCAGCGATAAGATCGCCGAGGAGGCCCCGATGCGGGAGATCTTGTCGTCTTTGTGCGGAGATGAACCCCAGCCCAGCGTCTTGTGTGCCCAGACAACAGCTCTGACTCGGACACAGGGCCCGGGCAGTGGGCACGCGGAGGCGGGCCACACAGCTATGAATAGCGTGACTCGACCCGGAACTTGCAGAAGCTTAGACGAAGACACAACAGCTGTTGATAGCATGTAGTGCGAGGCTGCTGATTCTCGGATGGGACGCGTCATCCTCGCCTCGCGACGCGGATAATGGTAGCGATCTAACTTGAAGGCGGCTATGGTCGGAATCAGCTGTCTGTCGGAGTACGGCGTCATCGCGTGTAGTAAGCAGTGGCGCCGGGGCGCGTGAATATTCCTATCTCGACATACTACCGGGGAGCGTGTCGACGCGCAGCACGCGGTGGGTGGGGTGGATACCCGCAGCTTCTCTCCTCGCCTCCACCTTGCATTCATTCGCGTCGACCCAAGACGACGCGGGAGGGGATGAGGCAACGCATGACGTCTGCCGTGCGTTTCGCGTTTCGCGTCTTTCGCCTTTCCTCCCACCGCCCCGCATCGTGCCTGTCTGCCCACCGTTGCGGGTCGGGTAATGGATGACGTCATCACAAGAAGATGTGTGGGTTTGTGCGCACGGGGCGTTGCAAGTTGTTCCGTAACCAGAACCACAGCAAAGTGCGCGTGGCAAAGACACTCAGACTCGGCGTCGACGAAGATGCCGGCGGTCGCGCGGTCAACCCGCGCCAGCGCAGATAATTGGATTCCACATTTAATTCCAATCTACAGGTGTACCATTTTGCTTACATGTAGATTGCATAAGACGCAGGATCGGTACAAAGCGCCCAAGCGGGCCATTTATCCGAGCAGGTACGCCGCCGAAGAAGGAAAGACCGCGTTGATACGCGAGATAAGATTGGCATCGGAAGAGGTCGGGCAGAGTCGGGCTGAAGTTGCGGGGGTAAGTTGGGGGGGTAATCCTTGAGCCGCTCGCGCCAAGCTAGTGTAGATTAACGCTGGTGAGGTTAGGGGAAAGTGATGACAAGAAGTGAGTTGGGGTGGGATGGACTGTCGTGCTGTATTGAAGTTGTCCGGTATCAGGTACTAGTACCCAGAGCCACACCAAAGCGCTAGCCACAGTAGCGATCTATTGTGCTTTTTGCCCGCAGAGCCACAAGAGTTCAAGGTCGATACCAAGAGCTTGCCATTTACCCGAACAGGGTAAAAAAGGAAACACCGTGTTGATACCCGAGATAAGATTGCGCTCGGCTGCGCTCGGGCGAAATCGGGTTGCTGGGGTAATATCCCGGGGTATTCTTGAGCCGGCCGCACCAAGAGAGTGCGATGTACTAGCAGCAGCGCGCTGTTGAGCGTCGGATGGGCCGCGATGGGAAAAACGGACCAGATGCTGGGTTGGAAGATCCGGCACAGTCTCGCAGATCCTCGAGTCATGAGCACAACGCGATAGCCTCGCAGAATGACTCTGGCAGACCTGCGGCCGCGTAAGCAAGGCAAATTCCCGCGCTGTCGCTACTATCGGTTACTCGCCGGATTACAAGGCGCTGATGACCAAACGACGACACGACGACCCCGGGACGAAGCCGCGAAGATGCAGCATCGATCTCTGCGGAGGCTGACCGAGCGGTCCTATCACAGCGATATCCGGGGCCATCCCGAGCTGAACCGCCGGCTCGCCTCTCCGATTGGGGATCGTGATTCGTTGCCTATCCGGGTGGAGAGTGGGGAATTCCACGACGACTCCCCGGGGTGCCGTGTCTGAAGTCGGTCCGTCGATGGGTGGAAACTCGCACACTGCTGGCGCAAGGGGACGAGGGGTGGGTACTGCGTCCGCAGGGGTGCGCCATGCGACGTCCCGCCTGACGCAGATCGTGTGGTTGTCGGCCCGAATTTGGGTGGGTCCGCGATGGGTACGCCGATATTCATCCGCGCGATGAGATAGCGATAAGATAGGAGGGTGATTATAGTGATGACCGAAAACGGCACGGTAAAAAAATGCCAACGTTCCTTCCGTTTACGAGCCGAACCCGCGTCGAGCAGGCTGTAACGAGCGTCGTCCTTAAGCTTCGACCACCCAGCAGCTCGCCAGAGAAGGTAAACCGGTAATCAAGAACGTGTGCCGGCCCGTTCCCACGACCCGTCTCATGTCGCCGGTTCGAGCCAGCAGGCGGCCAAATTTGGCCACATTGGCGCGCACGCCCGCGCCTCGTGTCGGGAAGCGCTCGAGAAAGGAGACGCAGAAGGCTAATCAGGACGGGCGGCTGATTGGCGAGCGAGATGGCCACAGTGGCGAGGCGAGAAGCCTGAGACTACTGAGGGCAAGGGCTGAGGGGTGCGATTTCGTCGGCCTCGCGGCGGAGGCAGGCATCAGGCTGGGGAGAAGCCGCAGGACTTCGTTGGATGCAGTGCCGGGCGTGCTCGGCGAAACGCGGAAGGGAGAGGATTAACGCAGGGTTTCTACAGCTTTTCGAGCGGCACGAGTTGCGCGTGATCACGCAGGACCGCGCAGACGGCGACGCGAAGCTTTGGGCATGAGCCAGCTCATCCGTGATGAACGGGAGGTCGACGTCTCACAGAGGCACGGAATACGAGGGCTGCAGGGACTTGTGCTCAATGATGTGGCGGATTGGCAGATACAGGATGTCGGGGGGAAGGCACAGCCCGGTGTTAATTGTTCGGGATGATGGCAAACAGAGTCGGCGGCAAGCATCACCGCATGATGCGGCGCCGAAAACGATAACACCTCCGCTTGGAACGCTAGCCGTCAACCGGTTTTGTTCGAACAAAACGAGTGCGAGTGACTCGACATGACGAGGTTTGAGGGCTTCCGGCCTCATGGCAACGCTTCTTGGGCTATTCAGCCTTCCCAATTCGGCCGCCTCCCCTGTTGTCGGTTGTCGGCGAAACGGGCATCTACGAAGCCTTCAGCGAGTCCAGCCTGCTAGATTTGTGCACATGTCGAGGATGTGACGGGGAGCCGTCTGGACCCACAAACACAGCATCGTTTTCGTGGGGCGAGCCAGCTCGGCGCTTCCAGTCCTAATGGCCCAGCGAGTTCACACGCGGTCGTTGTCGCTGCGCATGGCAATGCGGCGCAGTATGTTGTCCCCAGTGCAAACCACTGCACATACACATGCGAGCGGAGCCCCAAGGCACAACCCCAGACGCGTCGTATATGACGACACTTCGTGCCATCCCTGCCAAGCCTCTCCATACCAGCGAATTTCTCCGCTACCCCACACGCACACGTCCCGATCGGGAAACGCCGTCGCCGCTGACGCGATATCGTCTTGTCATCCAGAGATAGTCGGGGAATTTTTGAATAATGGGCAGAGTTTATCCGCACATTCAGGCGTCGTGAAGGTCGGTGGATGCGATCTCATGCGAGACACGCACAGCGGAGACGGGGTAAATCCCGGCACTTCGTTGACCCCGGACCGGAGTAGGAGGACGACGTAGATAGCCGCCCGATCTGCGCGCGATAAGATAAAATTGGCACATTCTTCAGGGCAAACGCCCCAGATTGGCATTGGACGCATTTCTTCCCGCGCTGTCAACAGCTCCAGCGTCTTGCTGTGAAGTATCCTGAGGAGACCGCGACAACCGGGGAGGAAGCCGCAAAGACTCTGCGGGCTGGCTTGAGTTGTGCTGGCGTTATCGTCTCCAACTCCTCATCTATCTGCCCAGACCGCGCAGTGGGTTCGGAATTCCACGACGACTCCCGGGCCCCGAACACGTATGTCGAACCTCGTCCGCCTTGCATCGCATCCATCTGAGTACAGCCGAAGATGGGTAGGAGTCGCGACAAGCTGTGTCCGCCGCCATGGCCAGCTGATGCAGATTGCGTGCCTTTCGGTAGCTGAGGGATGCAGCGTCCGCCGATATTAAGCCGATCTGCTGTGAACGATAAGATAAAAGTATAAGATTTTCAGATGATATGGATTTGGAGCAACGTGCCTGATATGCCATATATCGTGGGCCATGGCGAAGGCAGAACCAAAGCACCCAGGCTAAAATTTGAAAAGCATATAAGTTAAGCACTGGTATGTACACATACAGTGCCACCCACTCGATTCAGCCATGACAACGTATCAGCAGCGCGACAGTCGGAGCCTTTAGGTTAGACAGCATATACGAGAGATCGATGTTGACCGTAGGAAGTAAAGCCTCTTCGACCGTCGCAGGAGCTAGCCTGAGCTCTTTCTTGACTCGAATTTCAACAGTGCCAGAACGGCGCGCGGGAGAACAGAGGCCATGGCGCAGCCCCCTAAGAGTAACTTGAAGTTTGCTCGTGTTGATGTGGCATATGGATATGGCTCGGAGTCTGCTGTTTCGACGAGCAAGTCCTGCTGAATCCGGCGTCACGGTTGACGACTCCATGCTCACGCCTACTACAGTAGTAAGCCTGCATAAAATGGCTCCAGCGGGTTGCAGCGCTGTGCGCGAGTGGGAAGGTTCCGGCGGCAGCGACATTGCAGCGACATGGTCGTTCGAAGGAAGAGGCTCTGAGGGTCCGCGGCAATCACGCTTGAAAATTTTCCCATCACCTGTCACCTTTGATGAGTCACACTTTTCGCTCTTCTTTTCGATCCCCATGCAGTGGCTGCGGCACCCGCTCGCTCTCGATTCTCCCGTGTGGATGTTGTCAGAGCATGACTGGGCCTGACTAGTGGCTCGACAACAAGCAGCTGCAGCACGCAAATAAGTGGCATGCCAAGCCGGCTCGAGGTGAACGGAAGGGTGCGGACGGATGAACAGACCACCGGTGCGTAGACTGCGCCACGTATGTATATACCGAACTCATCATATGCGTCGTAGTTTGCGATAGGGCCCGCACACCTCGCCTCTGACACCGCCGTAGACATTGACGTCCCACTATATATGCGCCGCCTCCACAAGCAACAACACAAGCTCCGACCACCTCAGGCTCAACATACTTGTGGGGGCATTACTCAGTTTTCCATGTACACCGGCACGCAAGAACCCAGAAACCGAATTGATTGCTATGAAGCGCCCACACAGGCGACGAGACAAATCCCATCCCATTCCCCATGCTCGCTTGGCGACAAATACCATGACCGGCGAAGCTATGCAGAGGGATCTGGCGATTGCGAGGGAGGCGATTCCGGAGCGGAAAACTACGTTGTATGTGGTGAACGATTTATGCCATAAACTAATAACGGTTCCGACGCCGGCGACAGGCTACAGCGCACTCGAAGGGTATCCATGGCAGGTATGTATCGAGTTATGCTACTGCGGCTTGTGACTCACAAGTGCGCATCTAGCCACCATGTTGCCAACGCGTCTCTGTCCTCGTGGGAAGTGCTGACAGTCCAAGCACGTTTGCGAGTCCGTTGGCAGCGGCTGTCGAGTTGATCTGACTTGTCGATATCTCGACGTCATTCCGGGCCTGCTGCAGAGGCACGGCGGATGCGACCACATCTCGAAGACCATTGGCCAGAATCTGCACATTGGGCGGCCGAACGGGCTGAATTGCCGTCGTTTTCGGTTCGGTGCCATCATGATTGTCGAGCGAGATATCGGTGAACTTGTGATCTGCGAGGTCCATTTCTTCGTCCCATTCTTCGTCCATCTCCTGGCTCTCCGGGATCATATTCCCCTCTTCATCCACCTCATCTTTGGACGGCCGGCCGTCCCGGATGCTGAGCCACTTGGTTTGAGGAGTGACGCTGACGAAGCCCATGGTCGGTGGGCAGATGTGCGTGAGTGTGCCGACGCCGAGGTCCAGCGGCGTCATCCACGGCGGGAGGCCGGGTCCGGGAATCGGTGCGCTACCGAGCGGGTTGCGTCCCCGTGCGCGCGGCGCGTTGAAGGGCGAGTCGGGGTAGTAGTTGCGCGGCGTGCGGGCGGAGTGTGTTTGGGTAACAAACATCGTTAGATGGAAGTATCAGAGTGCGGGCGGAGCAGCGGTGAAGATAGTCTGTGCTGGGGAAAGGTTTTTATCCACTGGGAGTGACAATTAGCATGCTGTGGCAACGATCAGCCGACACAATAAGGTCTGATCGCACCGACGGACGACAAAAGAAGCTTGACGTCGGTGGGTAAAAGGCTACGACCAAACAATCAGACGTGTATATTGTGAAAAAAAACCATTTCACACACATTGTACATCTGTTTCAATTGGTGTCGTGTGACTGGATGAAGAACAAAAGAGGAAACAATACTTATTATTCACTTCAACAGAAGTCTTTTTTTTTTTGGAGAACCGTAATGCACTCTGGAGTTTACTGTGAATCCAGCTGCTGAGAGTTCATTAAAAAGTACCAGTCTTTGAATCAATTTGTTTTATCAAAAACAAAATCGTTTCCACAAAAAGGAAAGTTTGTGACAAAACAACAGGTTTTTACAAAAAAAGGAAAGTATTGTTTGTGGAAGGGTATCTAAAGGTTTGGGAGCCAAATTCAACATGTTAAACTGAGTGAGGCAGGAAAATTATGATGTGATTGAAAATGGCACAAAAGATTCAACCTTTGTTCAACTCTCAACGATTTCATCTCTTCAGTATGGTCACATACCATCAGGGCCACCGAGGGCCCACAACACGCAGCACATAATGACAGGGAACAGGCATCCCAGTAGGGAGGAACACGCATGTAGGAAGAACATGACCAATAATGATGCATCCGGCCGACACCGAGCCCAACTCACAGCACAAGGGGATTGGGGAGGAGTGCTAGGAGGTTAGGAGTAGTGATTGGCCTGCAAGGGACGTACAATTGTCTCCTCTGCGGCCAGGGACAGGCACAAAGGCAGAAGCAGGAGAGCCCAAGGGTGTCCGATCACCCCTCAGCAGAGCCATGTATATAAGGTGCAATAGTGTACACTGTACTCCCTTGTATTTCTACCGCTTCTCTCTGTGCAAGGAGGCATCACTGACTCATTGGGCCCTAAACAACCCAAGTGCTTGCATAGGCTGGTGCGAAGAGTGTTATCCTAGTACCAACCTAGCTAGGACAGGAAACTCCCAAAACTCGAAATTTTTGTCCTAGTTCTCTCTCTCTCTCTCTCTCTCTCTCTCTATAGTCTGACATTTTTCAGGTGAAACTTGCCAAAAAAACCAGTTCAAATTTTGACTTTGAAAAAAAATTATTCAAAAATTTCAATTTTTTTTGCCCAACTTTTCACAGGGAAAAATTGTGGAAAGGGCCCAGTGCTAGCTGATGTACAACTAATGAAACAATATTAAAATAACTAGAACAACTACAGATTTGATTTAGGCCTTACTGAAGATACCTAAACAGTAAGATCATTATCCCTGCCAATACCATATTGTCAGGCCTACCCGGGGAAATGAAGCTTCATATCTCTGACAGTTGTCAGAGCTGTCATGAAGCTTCGTTATTGGTAGCTTACCAGAGGTCCCCCAACAGCATATCAAACGTACCTTTTCCCTCACCCAAACCCTAACCAAACCCTAACCAAACACTAACCAACCCTACCCAAACACTAACCAACCTAACCTAACCCTAACCAAGTAAAAAAATAGTATATTTTGAGTCTAAGACTCTAAGTTGACTGACAGTTCTCTGATCAATGAAGCTTCGCCCTGGGCATCAGCGATCACCAGCTGCGAAGCTTCATGACATCTTGGGAGATTGTCAGTGGTGATGCATCACTTCCCCGGCCTCTGGTGATATTGTTACTATATCTATGCTACCTAATAATTGTCCATCAGGCATATTGATGCAGCCATATCTCCACCAGTTCTTAACCAATTCAGATAATTGTTTTACTGGGTAGGCAGTCACCTAGTGTTGATGTATTCTGATGTGAGGATAGTCCTATACCTTAAGCTTGTACTATTATACTGCTTTTTTGTTGGATTTTGTAAGGACAACCCCGGAGGCCTGAGATCAAGGTCGTAGCAGGGGAGGATCCAAAGAGAATAAACTCTAAGGGTCCGCCTGCTAGGGAGCTGACTATATATACTGCTTGTCCATAGCTGCCGCGGTATATATATACCCAACCACATACTCTGATTGATCTTTGTACGTTCTTGAAGGATGAATTGGGGCAGACATTCAAACAGAGGTAAGGTGTGAAGCTGGTTTACATGAATAGTGGGGTCTATAGACTGAGTACTAGACATTGAGATGCATGTATGGGGGTATTTGGATGTCTACTAGGACTCTGTACTGTAATCAGTTGTGGTTCTGGCATGTATTACACAAGGTACCTGAAAAAAAAAATAGATACATACCTATAGGCTATAGAGCAAAAGAGAGTGTCTTTGCTATTATAACGGGCTAGAAATAATTTCAAGTATGGTTTAAGACTTGAATGTAGTCTATAGAATGGTATAGACCTTCGAATGAGCCTGTCCAGCACTTGAATTAATGTCATAGCTGATCTGGATCTCTCACAGGACCATTGTGGAAGTGCCCGTTGGACACCACATCAACTCCACGGTCACGCGACTTCCACGAGACGCGCAACACAGGCGTTAACAGCCACCACTTTCCTCTATCAACCTCTTCATCTCGACATTTTCCATTTTTGTCTCTACTCCCCTCTCCCTCTTATCTCATTATATCAGAAGCTTCATCTACGCTTGCGCTTGACAACTCGGCGGAACTGGGGTGGAATAAGCTCAGGCTTGGTCAACCTGATGCTAATGCTGATGGCGGCAGCGAGGACACCCTATACGACTTGTCCCAAGCCCAGTTGTCAGGTTGCACTGTGGATGGAGTGGACGATCGCGTACACATGGACTCAGTAGTTATTTTATTTTTGTATTACCCCTTCCGATCGCTGGCACCGTCTCAGCACGGATAGGAGAAAATGTCATACCTTCCCTTCTGCCTCCATCTACTACGAGTAAGAGCACGAGCAAAAGCGCCACGGCGAGTTCGAGTCACAGTGTTCATTCAAAGAGTTAAGTACATCCACATCTTCTCTCAGTCCTCCTACTGTTCCAACCGTACCGTCTTCTCGATACCACTTCTTTACTATTATCAGTGTTATCTATCTCAAAAATGATGATTGTACCATGACATGAGACCTAAGATGTCATGGATAAGACCCGGCCCGTCCGCTCCAGCGCTGGTGTCGGGCCATCGCGGGCCCGTAGCACGCAGCACGTGACGACGGGGAACATGCGCCCTAGTAGGAGGAACGCACACGTGGGAAGCACGTGACCATGTCCGATCACCCCCTTTGGGGGCCCGCATATATAAGATGCAATAGTGTACCCTGTACTCTATCGTTTAGATCGTTTGAAGAACTACCTTACTCCGTGCAAGGAGGCGCTATCGACTCGTCGGGCCCGACACCGACCTGATTCGAACCTTCGACACCACCGACAGCGACAAGGGACCGAGTTCACAGGCCCCCCGACTATCCGTCTGTTCTGTTCCGGGCGCGCGTTCTTAGGAGAGGTCCTTGCACGGCCCGACCCGCAGTCTGACATAAGAGTCCGAGGAATAGTATATGTGCTAATAGGGGTATAATATACCTCCTAGAAACTGGTGCCCTTGCTCCTCTAGCATACCTCTATCCTGGGTTATATATCAGTTAGAAAGCTGATTTGCTGCTTATTTTGCGCACTTATCAGTAATACACGCAGAAAATGATCACCAGGACCTTCAACTCAACTAATCAAATCCTAATTTTGTGTGGTTTGTGCTTGGGCTTTGAGCTGTAGCAAACAGCTAATGGATTTAGATGTTCTTAGTGATATTAGTTTTCGGAATATTGTTTAACTGTGATTGCCTATTTTCACTTTGATGAATAGAAGAGCAGTGTTGTAGAGTTTTGAGATTTGAGAGGACCTTAACCTTAACCTTGACTTGACCTGGCATAACCTGATATTATATTTGTTTGAACTCCCCCCCCCTCTAAACCTAACTGATGTGACACTGGTAGCTGTCACAATCAGCAGGTCTGCCAGAGGGTCTTTGTTATTAATCTAGGGTTTTGCAGGCCTCTTAATATACTACTCTTAAATTAATAGGTCTAGAATGTTCTAGTTCAGGCTTCTGGAAGGTTCTAATGTAGGTCAGACTTGCCAAATATAGATATGTTACCCTATGTTCAGTTCACACCTATATAGCCCACCTACCCCCTCTAAATAGAGGTGGTAAATATATATTTTCCCCCCTCTAAGTAGAGGGGGTAGAGGCAACTGCGGCTGAGCAGCTTAATGTCAGCTAATTAGCAACGCTAATTAGCAATCCATCACCTGTTGCCACAGGTGATTGACGGGCTGTCCGGCGCCAGGCGGAGCATCACCCGCATCAACACCATCATCCAGCGACCCGGCGCGCCAGCGCGACATGTGAGCAACGGGCACCCGGGTACCGGTGCTTGACATCACCCGGTACCCGGATGCCCGGTCCCTCAGGACCGAGTGATCGCCAAGCCATCGCGGGGCTCGGATCCCGGTCCCCGTAACGCCGAGCGATCGCCTCGGTCCGGGAGCCCCGCCCCCCGCCCCGCCCTGCCCTTGGCACTGCTCCCCTTGCGCCCGCCTGCCTGCCCGCCCTGCCAACGCCTGCGGCTACCATAGGAGCTTCATCTTTGGAGCACGCCCGCCGCTCCCGCCCACCTACCAGTAGCCCACAGCGTGCTGAATCCACCATATCAATTACATCATCATTCTGACTTGTCATTCTTACAAGTCCGATGTCTGTTAAGTTGCCGTGTCTGTTAAGTTATGTGTGTCTGTTAAGCTTGCATGTCTGTTAAGGTATTTCAAGCACTGTAAATCAACTACTCTACAAGGACTATTACTTCCTGCTCCCGCGCGGCTTGCCCTTATCACTCCTCTCCTTGCGCTTCTTCTTTGCGGGCCCTTGCGTTCCCTCGTCGTCGTCGCCTCCTTCCTCCCGTTGTCTTTTCTTACCTTTCTTATTCTTCTGACCCGACATCCCA